GATGATATAAGTAATGATAGTGATAGCAGCGATGTTGATGACAATGCACGTTGATGATGCTGATCAATATCTTTATATAATTTTCATCGTCAACACACACATTACCAACATGATAATAAACATTATTTAGATGATGACATGACATCATGACAACCATAAGTATAATGAATATGGTATAATAACCATAAGAATACAGAAGAAAAATGGAACAATCTATCTCGAAACGTCGTACTACAACACATCAATTCTTTTTAGAACTATGTGTACCGGAAATAAAATACTATTTATTTGCCATGCAAACCTTCAAATAACAACCATTAACCTATCCGAAATATGGTAACATTTTAGAAAGAAGAGATGTACATAGGTCATGAAAATCAATTTAAACTGATAATGATATTAAGTTTTTAATTGATTTTGATCATGATATATTACTTTGTTCAAATATATTCTCACATCCTGTATACAGGTCTCTATCCAATTAAAGACAGCTTTTGGGACTGGAATTTCAGTGATTTTTAGTAGCTTTGATCTCCAATTCGAATGATAAAGTCAAAAAACATTGGTAACTTTGATTGTTTTTTCTTATGTATTTCTCTGTCTATGTATTTTGTGTTGATGATGTGGAAATAAACTTTATATTGAATTGAATTAAATTGAACTACTGAAAAATGGTCTTTAATTAGAGGTTGGCTTTAATTGGAAGGTCTTTAATTAGAGAAAGACCTGTATACCTGACTCCCTACTACCCATCCGAAATCCCCTTTCCCACTACTCCTCCACTGCTCCCATTAACTGTCTTGTTGATTGATACTTTATAATCAACTACCCAATTATGGAAGCCACACCAGAATTATGACTCGTAAGAAAGGTGGTCGACATTAAACAACGCCAAGGAGACACCGTGGCAGGTATCTTCCAGTTTCGTAATTTACAATCGCATGGTTAAAGTCGAAATTGCTTGCAGTGTTGTTTATAGCTCTGCTCCGGCGTTTTCAGGCCCAGGATAAATTGAATCAGTTTTTGATAGATTGATGTTAGTCTTGGGAGGGCGGTGGATGAAAGATCAGCGTTTCAGATCATTTGTGTCGGTATTGTATTCTTTATCCTCTTCATATTGTTTAAAAATCTCAATAATTGCTTTTAATTTTTATATTTGATAAACTGTGATAACTTTAAACATGGCAAGGTTTACGTTCTTTATCCATGATCCACTTACCTAACATTTTCATCTATATCTTTTTTTTATCAAATTTTCTCTACTTTATATAGATCTATTTAACTTTCATTGTCAACACCATTATCAAAATAATAATAATAATCTTTGTTTAGATTTAATTTATGTATCATCTATATCATCTTTTTTTTGTATCAAATTTTCTCTACTTTATATCTATTTAACTTTTATTGTCAACACCATTATCAACATAATAATAATCTTTGTTTTGATTTAATATATGTATCATATACATATGTATATATAGAAAATATGTATATAAATTTGATGTTGATGCCTCATTGTGATGGTACCAGTCTCTCAAATACTTCAACAGCGCCCTCACTGGTGGAGCAATGCATTATTTATATTTTGTGTTCTTTGAATCTTAAATATTATATTTTCAAAGATTTTGAAGTTAAAAATCTGAGTTTATTCTGTGTGATCACCACTTAACATAGAATGCTGAAAAGAAATAGCCTACTCTTAATACATAATTGTTTTTTAATTAATTTGTTTACAGTATATATTTGTTATATAATAACCTCACATTCATTCTACAGAACCTACTATATGAGTTAACACAAGTAGTACTATTATTATTCATATTATAGTAGAATCAGGATTAAAATAAAAATAATATTTGCTAAGATATAACAAATGTGTAAACAAAATTTGAAATTAAAGAGTTGTAGATATATGCATGCTAATATGAAATGAAGAGGAAAATAAATTATATATTAAACATCTTTGTATAAATTGATAAACAATTTAGTTATCAAATTATAATTTCTGGAAAATTTAGTGGTGATTTTCTGACATCCTAATTTTTAAGTTTACAACGATTGTTGTTTGTGTGGCCGTTGGTTACACTCCGTTTCTTGTATGGCCCATAACCTAGGTTATTGGCCATACGTAGGTTAATGTTGCATCTTTAGCCTTTTCTCATATGATATGATACGATACGATGAAAGGTTATTGTCACAATGGTATAAGACACAGCTATGAGATATGGATCCTTAAATACACTCATATTGCCATATGACCATTTCTTAAGCGGTGATTTTATGTCCGTTCCTTGTATGGCTTTTACTATACGGCCATTGCATCCACGGTTGTTGCATGTACGGCTGTTCCTTGTATGGCCATTGCATGTACATCCGCTACTACGGTATGTAGTAGAAACGTAATTCTGTTGATTTTAAATAGCTCTTCCAGTTCTGGGATTATATTAGTGTTTAGAAATTGATTCATTGATTCACATAATTCACTACACAAGTGATAGCTTGATTGCGACCGCAGACTTCAATAACAGACAAGAATTCCTTTAAAGAAGACTTGAGTACATCAACACAACTCAGATAATTGACAAAGTTGTGCTTTACAATTTATAGTATTTTTTCAATTTGCACATTCCATATCCAAAAAGCGGATATGTGTCATCCAATAGAGAAAGAAGTAGAAAACAAACTGATCAAAATGAATAGAACATTTCATTCAGTATGTCAACTTATGCCAATTTCCGTACTGGAGAGAACACTAAGATATAACATTATTTATAAATTTTTGTAGTCACTCATTCCATTATAACCAATCAACATTGCCCCAGTGTTTTGTGTCTGATTCAAGGTGACCTTGTTGATGCCCATTGTCATGAATATGGACACTCCTCATTGTAAATGCACCCCCCTCCCCCAATAATTGAGTCAAATGGGCGTTTAAGCTTGTGGCGTAGTGGAATGCCTTTCCAGTCTTTCTGGTCGTAAGTGAGTGAATGCTGGTCAAGTTGCTTTTATTCTTGAGCAAAGCACTTTTTCTACATTTGTTTCTTCGAATCACTCAGGAATATAAATGGTGACGGGTCAAAGGTGAATGATTTTTATTAAAACCTATTAATTCTGACTTAGCTGCCTAACTAGATACTCCTTAGAGAAGAGAGGACGTTCTCCGCATTATAAAAGATAATTAAAGAATTGACTTGAATTATATAATGAAATAATGACTTCATAATCATTAATATTGTAGAAAGAAGGGGTTAAGAACAGAGTATATAATAGCTAACCCGGCTGTTACATTTCCCTCCCCCACTTTTATCAATATCTTACTACCAATCAGATGCTATCTCTGGGTATATGATGTCAATTTATATATTGCAATGTAAATAAATAATGTGTGAATTGTGCAATTTATTTTAGGGTGGCATGTTCACAGGTTTATATATCAAACGCATCCATTGTAGATAATTTTGAAACTGTAATCTTGTCACTGACGCCATCAAAAACCCTGTGTCGATGAAGTGTTAAATTTCATATACATCAAAAGCTTAGTATTGTATTGTCTTCACTATATATACAATTTTTATGCTTTGTTGTATAGACATACAGTACATACTGTATTTTATTACTTTGTTTTAATGAGGGGAAGTCCATCAGGCATGACTGATCCCTTGATTCTGTAGTAATGAAGTTTAGGGAGTGGAGTTGTTTTAGGTTGTGATGAAAGCATTTGATACATTTTAACTACCAAACCATTGCTAAAAAAGAAAAAAAGAATGAAAACAAAAAAAGTATCTAAATGGTTTGTAGCAGCTGCAATGGTTTGGTTTCTGAACCTTGAGGTCGCAGTTCTAATCCCTCGCTGTGCATTTCGCGAATGTTCTTGAGCAAAGTCACTTTTTTCTGCATTGCTTCTCTCCACCTAGAATTATAAATTGGTACCTGGTGGGGTTGCTTTATCCTGCGCTGATTACAGCAGCAACACTTTGCCATGTAGACCCAATGACCTGGGTCAAAAGTGCTTTTTATCTGCAAAGAAAAAGTGTTATATAAATGATATAAATAATAAAAAATAATAATTAATAATCCTTAACCAATATTATCCAACAGACGACAGCTTTAATGTAGGCATAAGTTTTATCCTGGTACCTTGTACCGTAAAGCATGTTTTCCACTAGGCGAATTTATTCACTTGAAACGAAAGGGTCTGTTTGCTTCCTGAGCTCTGATTGGTTGCGCATTTTTTTCGTTTAGCAAAAAGTAAAAACAGTTCAAACTACTGATTTCGCTGAAGCGAAATACTCCAATAGAAATGTGAATGCAAATGCGCATGAAGCGACGCTTTCTATTCGCGCAAATAAATTCGCCCAGTGGAAAAGAGGCTTCTTTAAGGGCAGCATTGCAGTGTGACAGATTATAAACCATGCACTATTCAAGGCCTGGTCTGAGGGCATTCAAGAACTCATAAGTATTGCATGAGGTTGTTGCCCATGATTGAGATTGTCAGGAGTTCATGCGATGTGATGCATAACAATGTATAATACATACTTCTACTCTCTCATTTTAATATTATGAATGAAATAAAATACAAAATTATATGATTTCATGTGAAAGATGCTTCGTATTCTGTGTGTTCATTTATCATTGATGTGGTTTGGGGCAGCGGGAACAGTTTGGCTTCCCACCCAGAGGTCGAGGTTTCAATCCCTCATTGTACATTGTGTTTGTGTCCCTGAGCAAGGCACTTTATCTTCATTGCTTCTCTCTACCCCGGAGTATAAATGGGTACCTGGTGGGGTTGCCTGCTCCTGCGATGATTACCAGCAGCAACACTTTAAGCATGTGGACCAACTGACCAGGAAAAAGAAGCGCCTGGTATCTGCAAAGGAAAGGCGCTGTATAAATAATAAAAAATAATAATTAATAATCATTATTCAATATGTGAAATTAATTATCTCTCTTTAAAGGTAACCACAGCTGACTAAAATCTGCTTATTTGTTTATTTCAGGGTTTTGCGCCGCACGTGTCGCCATTCACTGACATACGTGATCTTGGCAGCCTGTTGAACCGTGCAGGGTTTACCTTGCTAACAGTGGTAAGTTCAAAATATAATCATTATCCTTCATGAAATATGATGAATGATAAATTTTTAAAAAGTTTATTTTGATTGAAGCTTCTACTGTTAAAGAAATAACATTTATTTAAAAAAATATATTTTTAGGTAGCAAAAATGAACAAATTTAAATTCAGTTACTTCCTAAAACCATCAAAGAATATAGCTCAATTCCAATTATAACCATTGACAAACATACGAACTGGCTCTCAGTCAGTTTTTAAAGCTTGTTTTCCACTAAGTGAATTTATCCATGCGAAGTGAAACGTTGGTTCTTGGCATGTGCATTCACATTTCTATCAGAGTTTTTTCCTTCAGCGAAATCAGTAGTCCCTACTTTTTGCGAAGTGAAAAAATACGCAACCGATCAAGAGCTCAGGAAGTGAACCGACACTTTTGATTAGCGCGAATAAATGCACCTAGTAGAAAAAACAGGCTTAAGGCAGAGTTGTTATTCACATTCTCTTTTTGTGTTTTCTTTTTTTTTTTTTTTTTTTTTTTTTCACTTTACTTTCTGTTCATTCTTCGTTGTTTTAATCTGGCCAAACTGATTAACATCCTCCCACCTTGTACTTCATTTTTGTTTCATTGCCCAATGTTTCTATTGTTGCTTTTGATCTACTGGTTTGCAAATAACCAAAGTACAAATCCCTACAGATATCAGTTCCAAAAACCTTTTGCTGGATGGATAAACGTTAATGTTAATTAGTTATCTGACCTTTAAATGTTTATTAATGTTCCATTTTCCAATAATGTTATCACAAAATGTAAGTTCTAACAAGCACAGACAAAATTATTATCTTGTGGTTACACAATGGATTACAATATGGCAAGGGGGAAAAAACGGTCTTTCATTATCCAACTCCAGGTAACATATCAAGCAATTCTCAGAATTCTAACCTGATTATTGTTTTCTAATCAATTGACTCCATATTTTTTTGTAGTCAATATACTTTTTTTTAAATTTACCATAAATCTTTGGCTGTTTCATTGTTCCTACCATCCAAAATATAGTTTAAAAAAACACTTGATTTTGAATATACTGAAGATTTTACTTCCTTTAGTAGGATGTTTATATAATCATTTAAAATGCATTATTTTCTTTATACCTCAATAAAACCAGATACCATATTTGATAATTTATAACAAGTAATAAAAGTTAATTTTGTAGTGCTCTATTTTATTCTATTTTGATTTGTTGTTATACTTCTTTTACATTGTGAATTAACTTTTTGAATTTTTTTTTGTTCCCATTATTTTTATGATTTATATATTTTATTGTTTCTGGTATTTTAATATGTGCTTTTTTTATATTTCCGTTTTTATCTATATTTTGTAATCTATATGTCACTGTTTGAACCCATGGCATTTCTGCACCTGTTTTTTTCCTATTCCCTTGTCTAATTTTATGAAGAGGTTTTTTCATTTACAATCAGATTTAAGTGGAATATGTGAAACAAAACAAAAGACTGAAATAAATTTAAATACAATAATAAATTTGTTATATTTCAATTCGCATCAAACTGCAGGAACCCGCCAAATTTATTAAATAAAAATAGTGTATTTTTAATATTTGTTATTTTATTAACGCCAAATCTTTTAAATAACAATAGATTATCTTCAAAAAGTTTGTTATTTTAATAATGCCACATTTATCAAATAAAAATAGTGTGTTTTTAAAATTTGTTATTTTAATCATGAATTAAATTGATTTATTGAATAATATTGAATTATTAAATTATTGAAAATAATTCAATTGATATAAATAATTTACATATATATTAATTTAATGAATTAATATTGTGAAATAGAAAATATTTACCCACAATAGCATTTGTAGCAAAAAAAGCAAAAAAATTAAAAAAAGGAAAGAAAAAGAATGAAATCAACTGAAAAACATCTTTAAAGCTGTTCTCTCTCTCTTTTTTTTTCTATATTTATTGGGAAAGCATACTCATTGACATTGAACTGGTTTTACATTCTGCTACCATATTTTTCCCATCTACATTCAAAACATTTTTAATATTAATACTGTAACATTTAGATTGCAACACCTCTTTATATGCCTAAGGGCTTGTAAAATTACAATGATCTGTTGTGTATTAACAGAATGGCTTTTCCCATTCAGGTTTTACTCTGCATATAGTGATAGTTGGTTTTAAAAGAGATGAATGCACATAAAGTATTTAATTCTCATACGTATTAATTTTAATCGCTAGTCTATATTACTAGATTTACATTTAAAGTACAACCCAATTTTGAATGACAATTTTTCTCTTGTTTAATTTGTTCTCCATAAGCCTGTAAAAAAGAGCATATGTGTACACATAATTATGGAGCATTGTCAGTAAACACGCCCTGTGAATAAATGCTGTGTAAAGCGTGTGGAGCAAGGCATTGGGATTTCAAATGGTAGGTTAGGGGTTTGAGACCGATGCTCGTCACACTGCTTATGTCCTTAGACACTTTATCTGCATTTGCTTGTCTTCACCCAGGAGTATACACTAAATGAGTACCTGGTAGGAGGTTTGAAATGAAATTGGTAGTGCTGATTACAGGCGTAACTACGAATACTCCCCTGGGATCATCGTAAAAAAGTTGTTAAATTTTTTATAATAATAATAATATTCTAATTTCCTCAAAAAACAGTAACAGGAGGGAGAAGCCAAGGAGGAACAAGTTCCTATACAAAGTTCGGCAACCCCAAAACATGAAACAATTAAGGAAAAAAAAAGGGGGGGTGGGGAATAGAAGAAAGAACAGTCACCACAAGAGTAAGGACGCCCAGCAGAAACTTAAAAACGTTGATGATGAGATCGTCTTAAATAATGCTAAATGCAAAATTATCTTTACAGTTCACTGCATCTTTCAATCAGTTAAAATACGTTTTAACAAGTGCAAGGTCGTTTATGTAACAAATTAAAAAAATTTTTTTTTATACTGGATTCATCTTCAATAATTCTTTTAGCAATTAAAATAACATCAAAATCAACTCCTTTGTAAATTGTTAATTTTTCTGGTTTAATGTCGATTATTTCATTTATAAGTGTCAAAAAACATTGAAAGGAAAACAGGTTTTATATAACATCTTCCTATTACTACTAACTAAATCCTTTCCAAGCCACTGGGGCTCATAGGGCTGGAGCTTATCCCCAGTTTCTGTAGTGTAAAGCGAATGAGAGTTATACTCCCCCTGGACGGGACACTAGTCCATCACAGGTTAGTCCCCAGCAGTTTGCTGGTACCCATTGATACAGTTGGGTGGACTGAAGCAATGTAGCTGAAGTGCCTTGATTGAAAGCCCAAACATCAACCGCTGCGCCAAACTGCCGCTTTTCTTCCTATTACAATGGATTATTCATTAACCAATGTAGCATGTGAAGGGAGTTTGAATTAGAGCTGAATACAACATTACAACATTTTTTAAGAAAAGAAGATAAAAAGCATTCTAGGCATCTATTATTGCATTTGCCAGCGTAGTCTTTTATAGTCTTAAATAGATTTGAAGTTTCTTCTTTTTGATTGGTCAATTAAAGCATTTGTGATATCCAGGTTTTTCTTTTTGAGAGCTGCTGAGCTTACTGAAGATTTCAAGTATTTATGCGATAAATGTATGTTATTATTATTATTATTAAGAATTACTCTTTGTATTTATTATTAATTCTTTATTTTCAACTAACATAATATTGCTGTTCAGTGAATTCCAGTTGCATAATCCAGTATTATCTTGCACTTGTCTGTGAAAAAAATGTTAGTTGGAGTCCATTAGAGAATCTTACTTTGCGATTATGTATTGGAACAACTATATCTTGTGATGATACACTTTATTGCCAGGGTTTGTCTAAGCTTTTTTTAATACTTTTTTTTTTTTTTAATGATTTTGAGGCGATGTTGATGTTTGTCTTGAGTAGTTCTTACATGGATCTTGTAAGACGCTGTAGTCTTTGAAGAAACACTGAAGTATTGATTCTGCATCAGTTGTACTCTTGACAATATAAGTCATCCATGGCGGTGAAAATACAATTACAATTCCCGGAATTAGCTCCTTATTTTGTGGCAATACTTTCATTTCTAAATTGTTTTTTTTTTTTTTTTCACTTCTGTAGTGCTTTTCATACCAATGTCATTGGATATAGAATTAATCATTAAACAATCTTATCCATTCCTGGGGGAGTACTCCTGTATTGCAGCTAATTCAACAGTAACCTATTTTATTTCTCATCATCATTCACATCCTCCAATCTACTCAATTATACACCTGGGTGAAGAGATGGTCAGTTACAGATCCAGAGGGGGGTTCAAGGGTTCAGAACCCCTTTTATAAAATGTGCTGTATTTAATGGGGCTAGGCTACAGCAGGCTATGAGTTTGCATGGTTTACTACTGCCTTCTACTGAAGAAATATTAATCTGTACACCAGAGGAAGAGATGGTATGGCCAATATAGCTACAGTACAAAGTTCACTGATTTTGGCAACCTTAAAAATATCTGGCCCTTGCGTTGGATATTTATATCTTGGCAATACCTGAATATAGATTGTACTTCTAGAATCTTTGGATGTAATTTGTTTTAATATCCTTATTGATAAATATTATTATAAAAAATTTCCAATGTTAAGTTCATTAAAGCTCCGGCATGTTGCGCTGTATAAGTCTATTATTATATTATTATTATTATTGAAATAAACTTAGTATTTATTATTACGAGAAACTAAACCCATTAAAGACCCCAGAAGGCAGGGGTCTCATTTCTGGCCCTCTGTGGCTCACAATTTTCTAAGAAGGCCTAGCCATACCTTTATTATAGTTTATTTATTTTTTGGTTAGCATAAAAAAATGGAAGTCCCTTATTCCAAAATTTTTGTCTGCCCTGACATTGCCTTGTCCAGTCAATTGGGACTTTCTATGTAAAGTCCAACTATAATTAGGATTGCTATCATTCTATTTATCTTAACCAGAACACAATGCGGAGTATTTATGAAT